GTTGTCACGCAGACCGGATTATGAGCTTGCTCATGTCACGACGGTGACGTCGTCCGTGATGGATTTGATCCGCGCCGCGTACGCGGGTGATGATATGTGCATAGCACTGCTATAGGCTCTCGGGAGCAAGGGTTCGGATACTCGGACAAAATATTGTCGGCGCGGCTGCGTGCACGGTTGCACCGATATACATTAAGTAATGGACTGTTGTATTAAAGCACCAATATGAAGGATACGCCACGAACTGTGGTTTCTCACAATGAGGATGGATCTGAAATACAGTATCCTACGGCACTCAACTCATTAGTCATCTTGGTCATGAAAGATCTACGGCTCTGTGAGTTGTCACTACTGGTGGCCTAAGCCGTACAATGGATAAGCACCTATGTGCGCACGTGTGAGAGATGTCAGAAGGTGAAACCCTCCCGAATGCGGCAGTTCCGCGGGCCAGTTTGCCGGAACCCTCCGGTGTTGGTAGTCCATGAGTTTGAACTATGTGTTTGACCTGCCGAAGGACTCGGCGGGCGAAACGGGTTGCGTGGTCCTCGTCGACAGTTCGAGCAAGTTGGCTCATCTTGCGGCGGTGTCGGACACCATCGTAGGTGTTGGTACAGCGACGCTATTTGTGGATCGTGTCTTTCGACGAAATGGACTTCTGGGGTCAATTGTCACTGATAGAGACCCACGCTTCACTGGGAAGTTTTGGTCGATGATTTTCAAGTTGCTGGGCACCAAACCGGATAGGTCAACAGCGGTTCATCCGCAGACCGAGGGTCAAGCTGAGCGAGTAAATTGCGTCATTGAAAACGTCCTTCGCAGGGTCGGCGCTGAGGCGCCGAGGCGCTGGAGCACCATGCTGCCACTTGTAGAGTCCGCTCTGCACAATGCGGTGCATGCGTCTACCGTCTACACGCCGCTCTACGTGAACGAACTCGTTCATCCTCGCGTCCCGCTGACGTTGCCATCACATGGCTCAGGCTTGGTGTAGGGGGAATAGCCGAGCGGCTAGCTGATTTCAAACCCTTTCACCGTAAGTAAAGATTTCCAAGACTTCCTGTCTACCAGACTGAGTGTCTTACGAGACATGCAGAAATTTTATACAGAAGGGAGAAGCAGAAGAAATGTTGAAACTTTGAGGTCGGAGACCTGATTTTATTACATGTTGAAAACCTTCCTACACATGCGGTTTTTGCTGTAGTTAAGACGAAGACCCGTCCATGTTTTATCGGATATTTTAAGGTTGTGGCCAAGCGTGGCCTTGCGTATACGCTAAATATTCCGAGATGGGTGCAAACCCACCCGGTACTTAATGAAGACTTGGTCAAGCCGTACCGGGATCCGGTACAAGCGAACGCGGAAGAAATGAAGCCGAGGCGCTCGGCCACCCAGAGGTTGGATCAGCAGCTGGTTCTAAGCACGGAGTGCAACAATTTTCGTTTTCAATGGCGTTAGACGCTCCAACGTTGCACGAAGTGACGCATTCGTCTGCTTGAAGGCGAAGAGCCGCTCCGACAAAGCACGATAGTCCTCAACGTGAGACGGCCGTTGCATAACGTGCTCAAAGCTCTCTAGGCCTTCTACGCAGCGGTATGCAGCCCAGCATGACGCTCAGCAGAGTCCCGATCGCGACGGACCTCGTCCTCAAGAGCTCGAACAGCATCGCGAGTCACCGGACCTTTCGTCGCCGTCCGCCACCAACTCTTCCCGAAGAGAACTGTGGTGTCCACTATCACGTGGATCGTCTTGTGGGTTGATGTCGTCGCCAGGATCCAACCCAGTATCTTGTGAAGTGACGGGATACCCGAATCCGGAGAACTCGGCGGAGTTTGAAGTGCCACTTCGGCAAGACTGCCCAGACGTCGTGGACGCTTATGATCAGAAGGATCATGGCGTTCCGCGTCGTCATACGTTCCGCGTTTCTCGGCAACAGCCAGGGAAGCCGAAGGGCAATGAGCTAAGTTCAAGCTATGGCCCTGAGCTGCTGCGGTCGCAAACTCACCTGTGTGAAATACGATAGAGCTTGTGGTGCGTGATGGATCAACTCATAAGTTGCAGGGCGACAATCCAAAGGAAGTTGGCGACGCGTCTTGAGTTTGGCAAATTTCAAGCCAAAGATAGTGTTATACACGCGCGTCCATATCCCTGTGGTTCAACTGTAAGTTGTGCAGCGAGGAAAGATTCCGGTACCGCTGCATCCATCGCTCAAAGAGCTCCTCATCATCTGCAGCGGTTCCACTAGGGACGAATACTACAGGAATTATCCGCATCGCGGGTACAGGAGCACCTCCTTTTTGAGCTCGAAGTCGAGCGCGGTACCTATCCATTGGGATTTTTTGAGGTGCCAACAAGCGAGCTCGGAGAACTTTTTGCTGATCAAGCTCAGCTTGTGTAGTGGCCGGGGGTCCGACTACGTAGACGCCTAGCGATCGAGTGATCGCGTCTTTCACACTAGTAGCAGGATCCGCCTAGCGGAAGCCGTATTCACACGAGAGTCTAGGACCGAACGTGGATACGAGCGCATGAGAGCCTCCAGCCGTTGCCCCTGTGCCTCGTTGAGTCGATTGGCAATAATACCACTTTCTCCAGAACCCGAGAGGTCGGGGATCGGACACGGTGTCCGCAAGGTTCGAGCTGAGCTCACGTCGCGCCGTTGGTGCACCTTATCCTCTTCGTCTTCATATGCTGGGAAAGGAGTATTCGATTCGTAGACGACTTCCTCCAACTCCTCGACGAGAAAAATCCGACGCCCATGGTGGGCGCGGTGTGTGTCGCCCGGTTGTCAAGGGCTTGGGATGAGCTTACCAAAAGACGATGAACGGGTGCCATCGGAACCAGCGAGGCTGGGTGTTTATCGTAGTGCTCCTTGAGCGGAGAATGTTTAAAGATGGTCCTATGGACATAATGGTGTTCTCAAACATGCGAGCCTCGTATGAGGCGACAAATAAATGTGAATTGTGGGTATTCGCAATGTTGATGGGGGAGGTGGAAGTAGGCTACATGTACCTAGGGTGTAATGGGGTCACACGTACCTTGATTGAACAGGGGTGCGACCGTACAAGATGTGGATTACAGAAGTCGGTGTAATCACACAATGGTTTGGCTACACCATTACAAGAAGCCACTACGTGGCGGGATTGCCAGTCGTTATGCATATTAATTAGTTCTACTATTTAATCAGGAAAACCAAGGTATGAGCTATAGGTGGTTCCGCCGCAAATAAAACAGATAAATACAGTTTAAATTTGTATTGGTAGATTTTTAGGAAGTCTTGGAGGTAGCGGATTGCGATCCGCTACAATCGTACTGATCCTGGAAAAGAACGAAAGGTCGGTGACCTTAGTACGCCGATATCTTCCGCTGTAGGTGTTCTCGCAGAGCATTTTACGTAGCCTGAAAACGCGTCTAAGCGCGCGCTGATCGCTTCAGTTCCTTGCAAAGCGAGGTAGTGCACGCCCTCAGGGCCAAGCAGAGACATCTGCTTTTTAAGCCTGCCTTGCATGCCCCGGGGCAAATAGGATTACTACTCCATCATCCCATAGGATCAGTCGTAACGACCTAGGTGTAAATTGACTGTAAGTGTTACCAAGTGTGGGGGCTGCCGTAGCTCTTTCACTTTGAGGAAGCATGGTTAAGATCGGCGACTTTCGCTCTAAACCTAGAACCAGTAAAGGTATAGCGGATCGCAATCCGCTTACTTCAAGAGTAGCTACGAGCTTAACCGAAGGCTAATTAATTCTTCCGTTCAAAATGTAAACTGTATTGCTGGGTATTATCTGCAGCAATGCCGCCAATATTTAAATCTATAGGTTTCCTATCTATAAAACATAATTAAATGAATAACTCCTGGCTACGTACTAACTTGTTGTCCGAGGAAGCTTTGATTTTTATAGTCTACGTTTACAAACGAACATAGACCGAATTTATGCGCTTTTACAAGGAGCGGCCTTCAAAGTAAGTACAGTAAAACCTGTCTAAATTAAACATGTTGGGACTGGGGGACAGCATTTAATTTAGAGAGGGTTTTAAACAAGGGAGGGTAGCATAATTATCAAAAATTCCCTAACTCAGGCTGGGTATATTTAAACAGCACCATTCCCAAAGAGCCCTACACGTGTTTTTCCTTGACTAAAACATCGAAACAGTTGAAATGTAACAAATACATTGCCCAGCAATGGGTCCACGTGGAGCTGAGCACACAACCATGTCAGACAAGATACGTATTGCACTGTGTCAACACAAGGATACGTCAGACTTTTTGTTTCTACGTACGCTATATATGGGTCCATATCTTTTGTTCAATTTAGAGAGGGTTTTAAATTAAACAGGTTTAATTTAGACAGGTTCTGTAAAGCTATATCTTGGCTCTGCAAAGTAGAGAAAACTTATATTTCTAATTAACTTTATCTAGTCTAATACCATATATACAAGCCAACTACTTTTCATAGTATAACGATTTTTTTTCCCGACGTGCGGCTAGCAGCCAACGTGCTTTGCTTTTCGGAGCTCCGTATACATATTACACATTTTCCAGTACTTCTGAAAATTCAAAACTACGTAAGTTTTATGTGAATTGTGGGTTGCACCAAATGTATGAGGTTTGAGCACACAAGATTACAGTACTTGCCCCGTTAGATGCGCCATTGCTTCGTTCATCATTTACTATACGCTCATTGTTTTGTGATAATGACTGCACTAATTCTCAAGTTAAATAAACATGTATTTTTTGAAAATACGGTTACAAAAGCCTAAAATTACAGCTCTAAGCACAGTTGGACATGAGTAAAATTGCGCAAGCGTCCAAGGTAATGTGGCACGTGGTGGACGCCAAGGGACAAGTGCTAGGTCGCTTGGCCTCTCAGCTGGCTCCTATTCTGCGTGGCAAGCACAAACCAACGTACGCACCCAATGCTGACTGTGGCGATTATGTGGTGGTGATCAACGCTAAAGATATTGTGCTCACGGGCAACAAGTGGAACAATAAGTTATATCGTTGGCACACTGGCCACCCTGGTGGACTCAAGCAGCGCACAGCCAAGGAACTTCTCGAGCGCAAACCTGAACAAGTGTTGCGCAAGGCCGTCTATGGCATGCTGCCCCGCAACAGGATGCGCGCTCTCCAAGACAAGAAGCTCAAGATCTTTATGGGCGAAACACACGACTTTGTCAAAGAGGTGGGAGAGAATCCCGTCATTTATTAAAATCCCACAACGCGTTTAAATACCAAAGACAGGATTGTAAGCAAAGAGAGGAGATATGACTATATCTGGTCTTGTAATAATGATGCATCCGAATCGTTCGTTGGTGTCTCTTGCTGCAATAAAAGATTTTGTTCTTTTTCTTCATGCATTTGCAGATCCTGTTGAGGCTCAAATGGTAAGAACTGACGGAGCAGGTCATCACGAGAGCTCATAGCATCAATCAGAGCTTTGACGTCGACGAATTCCGACTGATTTACAATAAATTGTGCGACAATCTTTCCACATTAAACCCACGAATGATTAGATATTAGATACACAAGGTCTGTTTCGATAACTTCGTACCTCTGCGATGACGTGTGGCGGGCACCATCGCCAGGCGTTTGGGAGCGCATTGAGGCGAGATGGCAACGCTGCAATTATTTCCACAACCACGACATAGGGAAGAAGACCAGAGTCGTTGTAGGTTTGAGCAATTAATGCGCTTTCAAGACTATCCCTTTGACGAGGATTGAGAAGTAGGTCATGAGATACCTCCACACAAGGCGGTGGAATTGGGATAGGTAGAGGCAGCAATCTTTTGTTCCCGTCAATACGAACCATCGTGTCTTCAGGTAATTCACTTGTTACGGGAAAGCGCTTGACTACTTCAGGCTACAGCAAAACATAACAACATGAATTAATTAGTATCAATAAAACAATCGTCGACGGATCACATACGCTGATATCAATGTACAATGGGAGGGCAACTTCACGTTCAATAGCAGCACGAACGTATTCAATCACTGCAGCAATAGCTATCTCTTCTTGATCCTTTCGTTTCTCGAGCACGTCTCGCAGAGTAGATTCAATTGATTTCATTGACTTCGTAATCTCATTGCATGCTTTTTCAGATGACTCCCGTAGAAACTGTACTCGTCGCTCCATTGCTTTGCATTCATATTTGAGTCCATTCAACAAGTTGGCCATACAGAAATCACCATTAATTTGTTGGTCAGCAGCTTCACTCTCTACATCTTGTGAAGTTGCAGCATTCGCAATCGGAGCAATAGCTTCCATCCACGAGCTACAAAGCTTAAGAACGTGCGTATACTCGGCCAATAATTCAGTCATTGTTAAGGAATCTGCTGGCGCATTTACAATCGTAGCGGTGACATTCGTTGAGGGCACAACGGCAGGAGCAGAGGCCTTCGCCTTGCCTTTCGAGGATGTTTTATCTGCTGCAACGGGTGGTGATGCATTTTTAATCAAAAGATCATCCACTGAATTGCGATACACGGTGCAAGGCGACTCCAAGCGAGATCGGTAACTTTGCCACAACTCGACAATGCTTTTCAGCTGAGACCGATTTGAACTCGCAACGTAGTGACCATCAAGAAGAACATGAACAGATACTTGAAAGCGATCACGTTCTGCTTGGAGAGCCATTTGATAAATCACAGCAACTTGTTGGCACATGTCTTCGACCCATTTATCGTCAATCATACTATCGAGCTCCTCATTATTCTCTTTAACTTTGGCCTCAACTAAAGTCACTAAATTATCCTGAAAAATATCTGTACGTGCATGCAATTCCACCTTTGTAAATTCTTCAAAGCGCATCTCATCAATTACTTCGTTAAACGAAGATTGAAATTCATTAACGATCAACTGCTTCTTATCAGGACGTCGGACAAACTCACAAAATTTACATATTATTTGTTGCATGCGATCGGTCACACGATGTCGCTGTTTGCGAAGCATGGAAAAACTCGCTTTTACTGTTGATACATACTCCATCTCCATATTATTCCATATCGCCGATAAAACTTGGGCAGATGCTAGTGAGAGTCCACCGGGAAGTTTGCTCTTTGTCACAAAGTTACACACTTTTTCTCCGTTGACCCAGCATCGTGCGGCGCCTATCGTAGCATCAAATTGACGCCTAGCTTCGTCTAGTTTCTTCCGAAGCTCCATAATCTCTTCTTTCTTGACTTTGGCTAACTCCGCCTCTGCTAAAGAAGCCTCAATTTTTGTCACTGTCGCATTAGTCTCGTAAATTTCTGTTTCGAAGACATTAAAGCGCTTTTGTCGTTCTTCCTCGGACAACATTAAAGCTTGTTCATCTGCTTCTTGCTTTTGCTGCTTCACCTCAGCTTTCCTTTGTCTATCTCTCAGAACTTGGTCAACGATTCTGGCAATGGCTTCGTGCATTTCGGCCATAGACATCTCGGCACAAGAAAGCTCACGCAATGTGTCAAATTTTCTGTACCAGGCCTTGTGGTCATGCTGAAACTCATCTTTCGCCCAGCAATGAAGCGACAAAAGCTCACTAGAGTATGTGCTTGGATTGACATGACGTAAGCAATGACGTGCCGTCGATTTATCCGGCGGTGGATCGAATACTAAATGATACTTGTCTCCAGTTGCGCAGTCCTCAACTCTTCCCAAACATCTGTCCAAAACAGCATTGGTCGGAACCTCAATGTGTAAAGCCAGATCGATACCGGATTTACCATGAAAAAAGGCTGAAGACAACGGAGGTCTAGGTCGACCCAAAGCGATAGCAGACATAAATTGATATGGTGATTCAGGAGCAGCCACATCCATATCTCCTGTAAGGCATTGATCCAGATATTGATCATGTTGTAAAGTTGCAGGCAGATCATGCATTACCCATCCGGCTTTATCATACCGTACGTGGTCTTGCATATCATTCTTCTTGATTGCTTCAATCACAACGCGGCTGTAAAGCTCCGGAGGAAGTTCCTTTCCATTGATAAGAAAACCATTTATTTGATCACCGAGCTCACTTGAGCTTTGAATAGCGTCGAAAATGAATTCATGGACTGATATCACGACCAAATTATGCGATTCACATAAGAGCTTCGCTAAAGTCGCCTTACCGGAACAAGGAGGGCCAAAGACAAGAATTCGAAGTTCTTGACGAGGTTTTATTGCTGGCCGAACGGGATCGCCAAGGCTTAACTCAGCACTAGATCCGTCGAAGGTGCATTTCTCCTGAATAATGTCGGCTGCAGAGACTGGCGAGAGACGCGAAATCCACCGTAAAGCTTTCACTTCTTCTCCAAGCACAAAATGATCCTCGATAATTTCGGTCGCCCCAGGAAAAAGTGTGTCTTCATTCCTCGTAGATGAAAGAGGTATTTGTTCCAAGATTGTCGGAAGTGGTTGGAATCGCGACAGATATTCATCTAGTTCATGACTATCCAGTGACGTATCTTCGCCGAATGCTTCAACGGCGAACCAAGGAATCAAATCTTCGAAACTCAAACCGTTAGCGAATTGAAATTTATACTCATCCCATGTTTCTAACGTCAAAAACATGTCAGAGTCCCGAAGATGCAAAGTTTCTTCTCGCTTTTTTGCAATAAATAGCACAAACTTAATCAAATCATCCACAATCAAACTTGAAATTTGCTCACTTGCAAATCGGCTTGCAGCGTTAATAGAAGCCTGAACGTCACTTCGTTGTACGATCTGCATCTCGATATCATCTTCAAATTGATGAATTATACTGCGGTAATAGCATGCATCACGATCAATCGTAGCCAACAAGTCCAACTCTTGCTGTTTCACATACTCTCGATTCCGAACAAGCCTATTTTCAATAGCTACATCCGTGTACGCGAGAATGCAATTTATTTCACTGTTTTGACTTTTTTCGCTATTTGTAGGTTGAAGCACCAACTGTTTCGATAAACTCGCTTCACGAGTGGTCTGTAGTCGATTTTGAGATAAAGCACACTCTTGGAGAAACCGCTGCCTTCTTAGAGCTAGATCTTTCCTGCGTTTTTCACGTTGCTGCCGCTGGTGCTTAATGACATCTGCTGCGATTGCCGTCTCAGACGGATTTGGTTGTACTTCTCTTTCATTCATCGCAAAATTCGGTGTCAGATGTTTCTCCTTCTCAAATGCTGTGTTGAGCGCTGTGGTAAGTGACCGCAGGCCAAATCCTTTCGACTTGCGCGGACTAATATTGCAACCCGACATTACGGTTCTCAATTCACCTATTGTCTGTATAAAATCGATGTCTTATAAGTACATCCGTAAAAGAACGAACAAGTTGTGAGCAAAGTCGAGCAATACGTACATCAAATTCGTTAAGATCACAGCACACCTTTCGGCGCAAGCTAGCAGCAAGAGATTTCTACGGACACCGACATTTGCAGCGGTCAGAAAATATCAGCACGCAAAAATTTGAATATCACACGCCTCCTCTTCCTGCCGTTTATTCGTCAACTGCCGAAAGAATGCATCTTGCCGTTGCTCGCGAGCATTCTTTTTCTGCAACGCCATTTTCCACGATGCCTTGTCCATCTCCCCTATAGCTTGCTGAATGTAGCTGTTATGTAGGAAGGCACGATGCCTTCTCTCTGCTATTGTTGCCTCCAAATACTCCTTCTGCTCAGCAAGTCTCGCCAGATTGGCTCTTTGATTCTTCTTATCCTCTTCAATTTGATCCCTGCAACACCGATTTCAAAAAAGCGTCAAACCACTGCAATCAAGTACAATCCATTCTCATTACTCTTCTTGTTGCAGCGACTTGATTGACCGAACACGACGTCGAATTGTTTGCTTAAATATCCGGGACATGTTCATATCATACGTTGATTTAGCAAGCTTCTCTGGCCGATTATGCAGAGGAATAATCCCCGTCCGCTCCATCAACCTTGTAGAGATACCAGGTGCTCTGCTAACTCGAGCAGCAGCCATCTTGATCTGGTACAAAAGATTTGCAGCTACGTCCTTCTTCTTGTTCATAATACCGGCGGCCACATTCGCATCAAATTTAACATTGAGGCGGCATAATGTAGGCTCTAAAAGACAAAAGTTGATGACCTTGGCGTCAGCACTAGAGTTGCGTACAAAGTCAGCGAGATTGTGTTGTTGGTTAAGGCGATATAGCAGTTCACCAAGCAAGTAACCGTTTGCAAAGTCTATTTCGATGTTAATTACGTGCGTTGACAGCTGCAGCTCATGATTGAGCCAGCGTAGTAGCTGCTCCGCCATCACTTACGAGTGTTTAATGTTCGGATCCCAAAAGACGCCTTACGTTGAAGTTTGATCATGTCGTCCACATATTTAAACTTACACTAAAGCTACGTGAGGTCTAGAAGAAAGAAAGCTTTTCCTAAGTAGCTCACAAATCGTGTGTGAGGCGGAAAAGAGCGCTGAAAGTTTTATGCATGAACCGCATAGCCTTAATCGTGTACACCAGCCTTCATAACGCTCATACGCCCAAGGACTGTTTGAATGCTTGCCGAGGAAATGTCCAGTGTAGAATACAGTTTGCTAATGCCAACCCTACTCCTGTATTTGTCCTTAAATAATCATTTGCGCTTATAATGAGAATCGTGTGGCGGCTACTATGCCGTTGGCATGCGCAACATCGAACGTCATCAAACCACAATCTCAGTAACTATATGCCGAGGCTCTGTAGTATATAGTGGACGTGTTCTTTTTCATGGCAAAAGGAGACTCGGCCGATCGCATCTGAGACCCTGCAAAAAGCAATACTTTCTTTTTTATGACGCACTGAACTGGAACCCAGAATTATTTCTACTGGTCATTTCGAAAGAGCTTACGGTGTGAGTTACAACTTGCAAGTAGCTTGATTATCGTCTTGACCTCAGCTAAGTACCCTATCTGTGCACATCGTATTTTGCTGCATGACTCGCAGCTTTCCTTGGCAACAAGAGACAACAATGGCAACCTGCAAAAAGACGCCAAAGAAGAGGCTGTCGTATACCGGTAGCGTGTCTGAGGAAGATAACCCCAGTCTTTCTGCTGAGGACGAAGAAGTGGACGAAACGTTTGTGGCGTTGCAGAAGCTGTTAAAAGCGCTTAATCGCTCGAAGCGCTCGAATCAAGGCAGCCACAGTAGCAGCAACGGTAGCTACCTAGGTAGCAACAGCAGTGCTCAAGTAGCGCCGGTTAATGATATCGCGAATCAGACGCGCATGTCACGTGACGAATTGCTTGAAAGCCGGCGACAAGAGCGCGAATGTTTTCGTCGATCACTTTTTGCGAAGAACAATGTGAGGCATCACACACATCGTCGTCGTACATTACCAGCCAATTATTTCTCTGAAGAGGATGAGGAAGAAGAGGTCATGGCGCCTTCGGTGGAGAGCACAATTTCGAATCGATTTATGAACGGTTCTTTTTCGGCTTTCAATGTTCACGTGATTTCGCGTGATCGGTGGAGGACAGAGGATTGTGTTTTTGAGCGCTTGCCGATTGTCATGCTGCCAAAGAGTGGGAAGCATGCAATTCCAACTGACAATAAGAAGATTTACGTCGTGCAGACTGACGAATATATTGATCTGCGTGACTCGCTTGTCAGAAATATGCCTAATGGATCTTCTACCATGCACTATCTAACACCGCCCCGCTCGACGTGGTACATGCAGATGCATGATTTTGAGGCACTAAAGTGCTAAAATTCTATTTTGTTCTATCGCCTCGAGCTGCCTCTTGTGTAAGTGGTGGTTTGGGGATTAAAGGCACATATTGTGCTATCCAAGAAATACGTTAAGGAAAGCGAACGGAAGCTTTCCACAGATCACCTCACCGCAGCGACTTCACTAAATTTTCTAAAAAGGCCATGTACTCTTATTTATCAGAAATGTCGAGCATGTTGCCAGCTGTATGTAGCTAGAACTATTCTTCAAATCATATGTTCTCAGAGACTAAATACTCTAGTGTCAATACTTATATATTATATAATTTAAAACCTGTCGTTACTAGGCGTGAGCATGGAACGGATTTCTTCGTACGTGACGAAGAAGACAATGCACCAAGGTGCCTTGCGCATCCAGTTGGGAATGAATCCCTTGTAGAAAGCGCCTGCACCACCTTCAAGAAAGGTTTTGTGCATGCAATCTATCATACCCTTGTAAAGAAGCCCTTTGCCTTTCACATCGGTCGGCTGGCTCATGAGACGCGTCTTTACCACATCAATTCTATCCACATCAACAAGATAAGACAATTTCGAAGATTTGTAGGTAAGATGCCTCGAAAGACTTACGGATTAGAAGCGGACGCGCCGGCTAAACCAGCCACACAACTCGCACCAGTATGTGCAAGGACACCCTCTTTCAGTAATCCAGACGAAATGAGCAGCTCCTTGCTATGATCGTAAGTGCCCAATTCAGCAGCGTTCACGACGAAGCCACGCTTGATGTTAGGCGACATACCACGCAGGAACCCACGGAAACCTTCCCTCTTGTAAATGACGCTGAAGGCGTCTCCAACACCACTGTACAGCTTGCCGGAGCGGTTTGCCTGCATTCGTACCTTGATGACGTCTACACTAAAACACCAAATCAGATATTCGTCAAACTCCTGATTATGGGCCAGCTCAGTGAAAGAGAGAAATCTCAACGCACGGGTTGGCAATGCTGATCCCAATAGCTCCTGCACAACCACCGGCTAAAAATTTGTTCATGAACGACACTTCACCATTCGCACAGTGGTGCACACTGGCTCCAAAGGTATTGCGCAGTGGTTCGTAGAGCACCATGCAGATACTCGTATACGAAACTTGACGCAGCAAAGCAGGAGTGGCTCCATTCCATAGTGCACTGAGACCTTCATGCTTGATCATTGTCTGTATAGTATGGAGCATGCCTGTGTAGTGCGTCACCGCTTTACTTCCTGACGCGGATCCAGAGCGTTGTGACTGCAGACGCACCTTAGTGATGTCAATAGGCAGCGTCAATAGCTCAGCGGTGGCTGATGCTGCACCGCCACTAAGAAGACGCGACCACTGCGGTTCGACTCGTGCTCTCACTTGAAGTGAATCCTCCTTTTTTGCTCTTGCTTTTGTCGTCATGACTTATATAAGATAGTTTTGGGCAAAGAACAACGTAAATGAGGTCGGGCGCAGACAAGTCGTTAAGATCTAGCCAGCGGACCTGAGTCTCTTCGAACGTACAGTTTCTGTTTATGCATACAATTGTTAGTCCTGTCCGACGTTTCTAAATGCATCATCTACTTTTGTATACCTTTCCAATTATCGGGTATTTGTATAACTCTTGCACGAGCCCTACAGCACTTGTGACAGTGCACTAGAAACGCCTCTTTCGGGTTTTAGCGTTCGTTGCAGACATCATTTCTATGAATAAAGAAAAAGCCTAAAATCTGGTATCCCGATGATTAGTAGCCCAGAAGTGGCATTTTAAACACGTACAGTACCAATCGACTTCCACAAGCAGCTAGCTGACTCAAGAAGTAGAAGAGGTGCGCCGAGCAATGATTTTCTTGATTCTGGTTGTGCGAGGATACGTGGCAAAAAGGGGTGACACCAAGTCTTCATGGCCCTTATACACACGTGCTACAAAGGTAATTACAATGAGAGGCAATATCGATTTAGAAGTTGGAGCAAAACTTTAAAGATATCTTAATTCGGCTCTTATTTACAAACTCTAACCTTCTGTAAAAAAACTGTGCAAGATACAATATTACGATAGTACAATTTTTAATCTACGTTTTGTGTACTTGTGAATGAGTGTTCGTAACTACCGAAGTATTAGTGCTTACGATGATTATGATTTACTGAAAGCCCACCCGTACCATTAACCTTCCTCCGTGAGTGGGCTTTCAGCCTCACGTCAAGCAATATAAAGAAGACTTTATTATTGGATAGTAAAGCGAACTTTTGTTTAAATAGCACTACTTGAATCATATGTCACTTTCTTAATAAAGCAGATCAAACGAAGTGGACCGTTATAAGAAAAGCATCTGAAGTTTCCGCTCAGGAGCGTTCAGATCCATTCTTTACGCGTTTATGTTTTGGGCTTTTAGCCTAGAAACTTGCTGTGTAAGATATATGGAAATCCCGTTGCATGGGGACCCCGTTGCATTTGGGAGCACTTGCAGTTGATTTCTTGACTAAGTCGTGAAAGGACTATATCCTGTGTAAAGATGGTGCACGAGCTGTCTATTACAAGTCTCCCGGGCAACAAGACACTCTTCGGAAGATCATGACTTTTGTTGGTCCCAAAGAGATCGAGGGGTTGGCGGTCGAGGGGCCAGAAGCGATAACTGCTCTCGTGAAGGCGCACATCAGCTATGATGAAAAGCGCTGGCGGGACATTTTAAGCCGCCTGATTTGGGTGTTGCTGGTGGTAACGATAACACCCACCGTAAGGTCGCTAATATTGAGCATCCGGCATTTCGAGGAGAAACTGTAACGGGGATTGCCATTCCGCGTACACACACACTTACTGAGGGAGACTTGAATCAGTTGACACACGTCATCGCGTGTTGCTCACATTCTGCGGTCCGCTGATTTCAATGCAAGAGGAGAAGGGTGAAGTGACATTTATTATGGCCAATAACCTCCCTAAACCGATAAGTGCTTCTAAATTCTGATATAATATAATTGAGGGATATACAACTATACGAAGTCTACAGTTAATGTTAACCACACATACAAGTATGTGGTTCGCACAACATGTGTATCTGTGTCGGGCCCATTACAAAACCAGAACAACTTTTTGCATCGGATGAGGGAAACTGAGATCCACATGAATCTGGCCATGTTTTAGACGCTGTGTATTCGGTAGGAGGCCATGCTTCAGACTGGGCACTAACCTTTAGCCCCTCAGTGGACGAGGCGTATACGATGCCTTCCTAGTTCTTGTCAACTAATCAAGATAAGTGCATATGCTGCAAAGATAATAGACATTTTCGACTGGTCAGTGCATCTATCTTTAAAAACCTTGAAGAATAGGCTTGGCGTGGCTTGTCTGACTGCATGCACAAATACTGTGCAATCTGCTTCGACATGAGACGAGCCTTCGCTAATCTCCTTGAGAAAATTTCAAACGTTGGTGATGTGTTGCAGAAGAGGCGATCTTTAAGGCTATGAAAAACTCATCCGCGCCCCGATTCTGGCTTTCGAAAATCCATTTCGGCCGCCTGCGACACTTCAGAAGTTGTGTCTTGCTCAAAAAGATGTCGATGGACATCAACACATGATCGCGTTTGAATCTCGCCACCTGAACGCTGCATTAAGTACATACTCTATTCACGACTGTGGGCACTTGCAACAAAGTAATCCCTCGCTCAGAGCTCCCTGCTCCGCAGAAAACCATTTGTGTTCTATACAAACTATGAGTCGTTCTGCACAGCGACGTCGCAAACATACATCTTGCTGAGAACAGCAAGACGGTTATCGAGTTGCCGATGAGGCAAGGTGTACATAGGGATGGCTTTATGTGGTGGTAAAAGCGCTTTTGCGTCGCTTCGACGATGAATTGTTTTATGTATCAAAGAAGTCACAAATTGAAAAGGCGCAATGTATAGCGAACGCAAGTGCCTTATTTAGGAGTCAAGTCGATAAAGCGTAATCTGAATTCTCAGATTTCGTTATATTGAGGCGCACGTAGCATGCCAACACTTCTATATCTTATCCCAAGGCTAGCTGCATATTGCCCTGACCTGCATGGTATGCAGCCTGTAATGATTCCGGACGATAAGGATATCGAAGTACGGATACTATACGAGGTAATTCATAGGTGGTCATCTCAGATGAGAAGAGACATATATATTTGTAGGCCAACATCTATAAGTACGAAAGTACAATTGTAGGTACTTGTGTCATAAGTATATGTGTTAGATCCTCCCAGCATGCGGCTGCACCTATCGCTAGCCTGCAGACTGTTGGCAGTCCATAAGTATGGACGTTTTTCAAAAGATTCGCCGTGTCATCCTGGAGTGTGGTCGTTATAGAATGTACGATCGATCGATCAGCTCGCTAAGGTCAGTGATTTCGCAACTGGTGAGATTACATCCAAGCTTTTCCTATACAAAGCTTTTTGCAACCATGTTTTGCCAACATGTTCTGCCGACGATCATTTTGTCGGATCGAATTTCGTGCTTTCCACCAAAGTTTGGCAAATATTGTTCAAGACGCTCGCACCATATTTAATATGTCAACTGCAGACCATCCAAAATTATATGGCCAGATTGAAAGCGGTAACTGCAATGCGGAGGACGTATTACGAAACACTTGCGTAGAGTAACGTGTTGCTGGAGCAAGATACTCCCTTGCATTGAATTTGCGTTAAATGTTGGACTGCATGCCTCTAAAGGTCTTGCTTCTTTTCACATAAATGGTTTGGGCACCCCCATATGCATCTAACACCGCCACAAAGTGGCCCTGTCACAGTGGTGAAAGCAGATGAAAATAAAAAAATATACGCCTGACTTCACTTTATGACAATGTAAATTCTTTTATCTCAATGAGAGGGATCAGCGTGTACGGGGTACGCGGCGTAATGGCCGAGTACAAATATAACTAGAAGCAACACGCTGATGACACAGGCAAAGAAACAAAAACGCAATTGCATATGCGTTGGGGCGAAAAAAAATTAAATGCAACTAATCTACCTACACATCTAGTATAATTTTAAAGTCCTGTAGCTCACAGCCGCAGCAAAAAAGAAATGATTTATGCATTTTACTTGATTCAAATGCGAGTACTCTTTGTTATACGGGGGCATACCGAAGCCATAATATGATCCGCCCCATTGGAGACAGACCAGTGCCTGTACAATTTCATTTAGCCAAGCGACTATCTGCCACACCGTAACAAGACCGTTCCGCACCGCGGAACGTGGCTCAAGTCATGCAATGCAATGACATAGCAGAAAAAACTGAAAGTTGACTCATTTCAGCGCGCCGAAATTCTCATAGGGGGCCGACGCCGCAACAACTGAGGGAGATCACGAGTACCAGCTGTTGGAATTGGACGTTCACCGGCATTAGTCCATGATCGACGGGTGTTCCATTATTGTGCGGGGTGTATGATGGGCCAACGGGGACACAAGGGATATTATCAAAAAGCCACGCAAATTTATGGAAAGACCTCGCGCGATTGCCCTGGTACCGTGCTACGCTTTCAACATGGCGCACTCTCAGCCTTTACTTCAAGAAAAGTAAGACAGGGTCGCATGTCGCAGCGCACCACTCTCTATCGTGTGGAGATTAACATTGTGGCTAGTATGACCATCTTACCCTAAACCCTAAACCCTTAACGTCGTAAATCATAACAGCTATCACTTAGAGACTAGTGGGTCTGGAGGTGAAAGCTATAGCATCCGTGTCAAGATTTGTACTATGCAAAACCAAGCATGAGACGACGCCCTAGGCAGACGTTCGGTTCGCTAAAGCCGGCTTGTAAAGTCTTCTGCGGCGTGGTCTCCTCGCTTAGTAAGCAAATTAAATCTAGTTTTAAGCAGCACACTTGCCAGCTTTAAGTACCCAAATACATCCCTCTTGGACAGTACAGGTTTCCTCAACCTCTGCCCTGCTATATGCTCAGGCGATATTATTACTTTTGGGTTGGTAAAGGTGTCGCTGAGCAACATACCCGAGCTCGATTCGACCTGCCTAGGCGTATCAGAGCTCCACTCTAGTGTGGTGAACAACTCCGGACATTGTACTGCCGTAATCAGGACAAAAAATATCACATCGCTTGCGCATGCAGATGAGCAAGCTAGGCTTTGAGAGCCAAGCTCAATTTGTTATCAACAGACCGAACTTTCTCATAATCTTCGCGACGGGCGTCACAACACTTCCCGCCGATGAACAAAACCATGGGGTTTATAACGCATGCAGAAAGTAGACTGAGCTCAGTAAGCGTCTTCTCCCAGGGTGGACGACTAGGCCTGCGTAATTAAGTGAGGATTATGTGCTTGGTCACGAAATGTCTACTCACTGCATTTGCTTTCATCAATAAATATCTTGGTTTCATCACCGAGAATTGCTTTCGCAGTGATAGTGGCGAAAACGGAGGATTTTGCGCAGACTCATCGTGCCATATGATTTAGCGTTTGGGTTATAGGTTGCTATCTGGAAAAGGTACAGTAAATGCTAAAGTTTGTGCTAGAATTCAAGCACGGTAAATATGCAGCGGGGTGTCTGGCTTTTGCTTAAAGGAAGCTAAGCAAGGTCGCCGACTTTACGTTATATACTAGAGCCAGCGCGAATGTAGCGGATCGCAATCCGCTGCCTTCAGAGTACCCAAAACCTTAACCCGAGACTGATACACTCTTCCGTTCAAAATCTAGACTGTATTTCTTTTGTTTGATTTGCGGTATCCCCGCCTATATTTAAATCTATATGTCTAAATTAATATGCATAACTACTAGCAGTCCCGCCACGTAGTGCCTTCTTGTCAGGTGTAGCCACATCATTGTGTGATCTCTCCATATTTTGTGAATCACCCTTTCATACCAGGGTACGTGTAACCCCGTTACAAGATACTTGTAGAGCGACAATGTTTGCATTGTTTTGAAAAAGATAAAAGAATTTTGAGCGCCATGGACAGTATAGGAGGGTTTAACGGAATGAGTCTGTGCTCTTGTGTACCCAACCCTTAAGTTTTTGGCTCAGTTGTATCGGATACAATATTATACAATAGTACAAAATGTCACCGGTGGTTTTCTGCGTGCAGATTATAAGAAAACGTTTTACGCAAGAGTAATTCATAATTTGTTGTTTTTAGATTAACGAGGAGCACTAAAGTTTCTAGTGGCCGGAAAAGTGGTTAGTGAATGCAATGTAGACCCGTTCTTCGTTCAATAATAATCATTGACCCTTCTGTGTGATGTGTACAGCAGCCCCGTTGCACTTAAAAGCACCGAAATTCGACGAGTAATGCTTACTCGTAGAATTAAAGACTTTATCGTTTGCGAGTACAAAATATAACTGATCACTAGTCTGCCTTTGTTACAACAAGTTAAGCAAAATAAGCGTCTTACTTTGGTTGGTTTTATCTGAATATCACTCTTGGCTTAAGAGTCGGAAGTGGCAATCTCTTGCTGAAGGAAGTTTCTCGGCTCTGGGAATGCGCTGGTTAAACACCTCCAGGAACGCGGAGCACTATCGGCTTCCACCTTAAACTGCTTATTTCTAGTCACCAGCTAATTGAGGGTTGAAACAGAGAAATCTCTTTCCGAACAAAAAACGTCGAGATGGCAATGAATTTTGCAAGCTATACGCAAAGCTTCTTCGCACGAGCGATTATCAAGGAGAAGGTGGTGCTTAAAAATGCGCACGTTTGATCGATACTTTCATTAGCGATTCATTTCTTTTTGAGAGGTGTTGGATATAGAAATGTTTTGAGTATCCACAACGCCTGACCTGATCGCTCATCTGTACAGAGGGACGGAATCTCTGTGTTAAAATACTATATCAACGAAAAAAGTGGCAAAATACGGCTGAAGGCAGTAGCGGCTTTATTTTTATAAAATATAAAGTACCGATGGCGATCCCACCGAGACCGACCGAGTCTACTTAACTTTTTTTCAAGGATGCGGTGGGTGACACATTTAATTTGGAGTGCAAAATCCGTGCTACGAAGGCTATCTTGAATGTAGTGTTCGAGGGGCGATGAATCTTGCAAGGAATGAATGCATCATTGCTTTTGTGCATCATCGGGTGCAAGTGACTAAACAGTTCTTTTAAGTTTGTGATGAGGAGGCAATCATGCTTATGTCAAGTTCAAGGTGCATCTCTCTGGCTCTTAGCCGATTGTGATCGTTTGGATCATGCGTCGATGTCGTATATCTTCCGGATATTGTATTGATGTACAGCATTCATTGAGCGACGTGGACATGTTTTGACCAGATTCAACATGTGTTGCGTTACTCAAAGATCTCTAATGTAAGGGAGTTTATAACTCTCAAGTCGCTTTATATCAATGTGTGCGGTCGCACGTTAGTATTACGTGTCCTTCTCCTAAGGCTTGTCTAATCACAGCACTACTTTACTCGATACTGAGCGTTAGAGATTATAGTATAATGAGGCCCCCAGAATCATAATTCCGCTCGACATCCTTGAACGACCGTCACAGTACGGATCAGACATATAGTTCGATGAGTCTTATGTATTGGTGTCCCAACATGTATTAGTGGGTGAGAATCTATAGCCCTCGTTTAGAACGTGTCATCGGCTTTAATCCACAGCACATATGTCGGCTCTTTGGGTGCGCCTGCCGACTCCAACAGAGCGTTGCAGTCCATAAGTATAGACTTTTATTTTGGCGTGCCAAAAGACGCATCTATTAGAAAGAGTTGCGAGCTGTTGTGTAAGATGTTCATCTTGCTGCTGTCAGCGATACTGTCACCGGTGAGGATACAGCAAAGCAGTTCCCGACATTTTGGATTGGCTTGCCGTTGGTCATTGCTGCGCATGAAAATCGCGCTAATCCATTAAATTTTGATAAACATTGCTTACGATGTTTAGGCTTGTACAACGCTTGATTTCCCCTGATTAATCGGTCAGACGGAAAGCGTGCGATTCGTGGCGGAAAATATTAGTGGATTCTCTTGTGTGGATAGACCGCGGTTTGGGAATAATATTTCCCCCAACTGATTAAGTGTTATCTAAATGATGGTAACAATTTTTTTAGGTTAATTTATGTAATATAAAGGTTCGGTGAGCCTTCAAGCCCCTTCGACGCAGCCACAAAGTGACTCTCGCTCCGATGAAAGAAAAGCCTTTCAATTCGATTCAATACGTCTTGTTCTTCAAAGCAAAATTCAGATTATATTGAAGAGCATCGCGCGTCAAGTGCAGGACACCACGGATGTGCCAATGTAAAAACATAGAACAGAGGCAGAATAGTCATGAATACGAAGCGTGCGCGTTGATTCTATACAATACGGCTATCAAATGTTTGATTCGAAGTGTCTGCGGTTTAAGACAAAGTAGTAATCCGCTACTTCAAACTGCTCAGGATCTTAGAAGGATCTTTTACGCTCTAGGAGTTATATTGATCGTACAAACATCTTCAGTGCTCTACGTGAGCTTGCTTAAGCCATATCATGATTCCATTTCTGCATATAACTCGAATGTGAAGTGCTCGTAAAGAAGGATCAACGTCTCAAACAATCTCAAAAGAGCGGTAACACAGCTCGGATACTCATGAAGTACTCCGTACTATAACGTTGGTCAGAGCGCGTCTCCAAAACTAACTCATGTCAGTATCGGTCGTGCGCCGGGACTCAAAGAGAGTCATCGTGTCTCAATTACCGAGCCAGTCTCGAAAAAGCTTTTTTCAGGCTTCCACTTTGAGTACGGGGTGGCTCGCCTTTACGCAAAACATTGGTGGGCTGGCCGGCTGACTAGGGCTGTAACCAGTACCTGATGAAGGAATCTGATGAAGAAAAAGGAAAACTTTCTAATTTAGAAACTCATGGTATTTTTAAGTCCTAGTTTGACAAGATTGCATGACGCCGATACCGCGTACGACTTAGCGGACCCATAACAATTATTTTCCGCAGAAGAGAAAGTGTACCCAGCGACACGCTGCTCGTATTAGCAAAAAGGCTCGATCCTTGTGAATAGTTCAAGACTGGGTGAACATTTGTACCAGCAGGCCCCATGTGATGATCAGATCGGTGATTGCTAGAATTTTGAGGCGGTATGCGTTTATCTAACCCATGCTTTACCGAAACTGGTGCAGATATATAACGTGTGTGCGGTTACTTAGTGCAGTAGCTGACTAAGCCATGTTTTGCACTTTGCCGGCGCACAGTATCAGAGGTAGGAGTGTACGGATTTACCCGATCGCTGTTGTTCTAGGCTCGACGGTATTTTTTTCAAAAAATACCAGTTAGAGGGGGACTGCAGGTTTTTGAGTGCTGTTTTGTTTTGATGATGTTATGCCCCGAAAAGATTTTTTACTGTATTGTTGGATATAGCAAAGACCATCTCGAGTGTAGGACTTAGCTGCGTATTCAGCACGCTATCAATTTATAGGAATTTTAAGCCGCAGTACCGCTAAGCGAAGTGGAAGTCTGATCCGCAAGATTCATAAACCAATGCATTGAGCATATAAAGCCGTCGAGGTTCTCGTCTCTGAGTTATATCACTTTAAGGTGATTTTGCCTTAATCCTAGCAAATAAAAAGCTAATTAAGATTAAGACACATCACTTCACATTTCTGCAAGGCAGGCATTCTTAGACAATATACAGATCACTTGCATAGCTGCCCGAAGGTGCTCGACAAAAGTAGCTTTACCTCTCATGATTATATAGATCTAGTGCGACACAGCTCATCCGATGCAAATTTATAGATGAATGAGTATTCTTAAGCATTTTCTCGAAATAGATTTTTTTAAGGTACCCCTCTTTTATCTCATCACTTGTATATGTTCTTACATATTTTGTTTCGAATGTTTGGGATAGCAGAAATTACTTCTTTTGAACTGCCTGAGACTATCAAACACTGCCTGGTGGTTGAATATATTTTTTGAATAAAGAGCAAAGAAATGTGCGCATCATTACAGTCATACGAGTGCTCTCAGATCTGACTATTCCATGGCTTCTTGCTTATTGTCTTAAAGATGCTGTCCTTTTGCGTTTTATTGTAAAATGAAAAACGATATGTGCTGGCCCTCAGAATAAGTAAAGCAAAAATATGTATTTGACTGCCGTATCGGTTTGAATATCAGCGTGGTGATCTTGAATGACAATGATTAAAAGGATTTACTTTTTCATTTTAAGTCTGATTGGGATTTCGAAAACTGCCAAGTACGTTCCACGAAAGATGCAAGATTGTATACATCTGCTTCGGTGTACCGTTACATCGTGACAAGTCTAGTCTATCTAATATTACATCGATGGCTGTCCCTACTTCTCATGACAAGAACCACCTGCATTTCCCCTTCAGATCGTGGTACTAAGCCGCTCGTCCTCACCTTCACGCAATTAATTCTGGAAAAACCACAAATTGTTTCCCTGAAACCAATATCTGACGACTCCAACTTACTGCTATGACTATCTATCTCCCTTCCGGGCATTGCTCAAGCAACTGACAAATATAGTTACTGATTGTTTCTGATAGTCATATGTGCGAAGCCACTTATACCCCAGATCTATGCTCGCGCTGAATGTTTTCAGCTTTTAAGCAAAGTTGAATTCATGCTTTTTCAAAGGAGCATTAGTAGAAAAGATTATTGTACACACTTTATTTGCCTTCGAGTCGATATGTAGTTCATAGCGTTCCAGCCAGCCCGTACATCGGGTGAGATCGTATCTAGCAATCAGGTCAAGGACCAGGCAGCATTTTGCGCCATCAAAGTCGTCAATTTAATGAAAGCTAAAATAGGTATTCGACACATTACATGGACAGAAATGTCTCCGTCACAGAAGTCACGGATATTCAACTATATCCTCCACAAATTGCCTGCTTTTCCAAAAGTCATGTATTGCTTGTAACCTCACGGCACCCTAGGAACTATTGGAAAACTCAAATCTTGCAAAGTTTGAGACGTTGATGTTAACAACCGCCAATCCTATGCTGTAAGTCTCACCACTTTTAGGTGCGTTGATTTTCTTTGGGTCTAGTTTCCCTTGCTCCGGCCTCCATGAGTTACAATAGACCCGCTTTGTATCTAGTACGCAGCCGTGCGCCTACTTGGACACGACGTATTTCTTATATAAGCTTGTTGGTCAACCCTGCGGGGAAACTGACCCTTCGCGTCTCCCAACCAATAGAGTAAGAGACGTGCAAGATGTAAATGCTGGTCTGCTATCAACAAGAGCAAGATACCGCTCTCCTACAGATTGAAGTTACCAAACTTCACCGCCTCTCGCGCTATGGATGAGTTTCCACATCGCATGCACCATTTAACCCTTGTGACATGAATGTTGTGCTTCACCTTCAATGCGATACCTAATGCTTCATCAAACAATTTGGGTGGACGCGGAAGGTATTAGTGCAAGCCACATCTGTCCGGCAATTTTCGATTATGATGGTAAAATGTACCTATTGCAGAATAGGCCCATCCACCATCTCGGATATTGAAGCTCTCAGCTCCAAGATATAGTCCGCTGTATATTGCCGTATTAGAGGGTGACATGAGTGTTAATATCTCGCGGCACTCTACATTTGGCGGTGCGAATATTTACGAAACTTGTAGCTTAAATACTTTTCATGTCGGGGATGTCCCGTTAAACTACACATACTCTGGCACGGTTAATTACGATACCCAGTCGTTTCAACTCTCTTCCGGCCCTAAATCAGAGATGGCAACTTAAATCTGTTCTTTACCGTTCCGCTAGAAATACAATCTGGAACCACGACATCCAGTCGTTCTCTCTTGTGGCAATAGTGTTTCACTCTGGTGACCGTGATAAGCAGTCGAATTTTCTGACTTTCGACTCAATTTCGCCTCTGTCTTCCGAGCTTTGCTCGATCCATCTAAGAATACCATTCCGGCCAATCTCGTGTTATACAAGGAAGCTTCGTGCCTGTGCCGAAAATGTTTTTACCTTGGTAAAGGTGAAATCATAACTTGCTGGTACTCCACCAAAAGATAAATGGCTTCAAACTGTTTCAATTTCAAGTCTACCTATTTCTCATGGCGTTCCAGCTATGCCATACCTAAAATAATATCATGCCCCTAGATCCAGGCTTGTCAACATTTCAAGCTGTCAAGGCCCCAACATACTTCGAAGCTTAACATAGCTTTTGACACTTTCACCAGTGACCCCATCACAAGACGCACACATATCGTAACGTTTTTTGGCATCTCTACCTCCTCCGAGGTTTCTGAACTATTTTCGACGATTTAGAGGCGTATGCAACTACATGACACTCCTACTTTTGTCGCAACTTGTTACGACATCACAAAGCCCGGGACTAAATATCAACAGCCAACAACCCTGCATTGTGAGATTCACCTTTTTAAAAAAAGATTATCACTGGTAAGGCAAGAATATATCAATCACGACATTTATGAGGTAGAAGTGTTCTTAAGAACTCCCCAATCGGTCTCTTCGGACCCACTGGGACTTGTTGTGTTCAAGTGAAGCGTTCGTCGTCAGGCCGCGCATTGTCCTCGAAAAGCTCGGCATTGATTTTCAATTTGAATACGATACTAATCGCTACCACGAATGAGGTTTGGTGGACGCGGCCTGCCTTTGTGCGAGTTGCACACGTTCGCGTACCTTTTTATTTGAATGGTAAACGCTCTTCTTTTATGGGAGTGGATCGGACGCCATCGCAGTGATTAATCGTCTTATTTTCTCGATATAGGTTGCCGATCTTGCGCCACTCTTTACATGTTGACAAGAACTCTCAACGCACTTAATCATTTTTTTAGGCGATTTGAACAAGCCGCTGCATCTGTCGCCTCAGCTTTCTTTACATTTTGCATATTGGTACACGTCTCTCGGGCGTACTCTCTGGACGATCATGAACTCGAACATGATCCATATCACTCCATGTTATTGGTCTTCCAACTCGGCTCCGCGCGCAAAAATGATCACTTGCGTGCGCTTTGATCATGAGGTGCAACTTTAAGTTGTACGTAAAAGCACCACGTACCGAAATTTGTAAGGATGGTTCATCCTATAACATTGTGACGAGCCACCGTGCAATGTTGTCAGACTCAGCACATTATTAACGAGAAAGAATATTCTCTCGCAAATGGAGTAACCAGGGTAATTGTTGGGACTGTAAGCTTTCGTTTATTTCCTTCGTCAAACGTCATATCGATAAATATAATTCAGGGGTTATCTGCAAATAATTGTAAATTGATGAGATCAGTGA